ACATATATCGCGGACCAGGATGCTCCCCTCGCTGACTATCACCAGAAAGGTTGACGCAATGTACTGAGTTGGCCATGTGAAGCAAGGCGATCCTGTGAGCTTATGGGTCGCCTCCATTTTGTTCTGTCACGGAAGAATGCTCGGGTGGCTCCTACGGAAGACAAGTATTTCCGCCTCACGGTGGACTGCTCCATGCATAATCCCTATATGCACAACCTCCCCACAACGTTGCCGACGGAAGACGATATTCTCAACCATGCTCGGGGCGCCATTATTATGACCTGAATTGACCTCGCAGCTTCCTACCATCAGCTTATGATTGCCTCTGAGAGTCGTCGTCTCATGACATTTTATACGCCGGACGGCCGTTTCCACCAGCCGGTCTGCCTGTTCGAGGGCATCCAGAATGAATGCTGCAGCACTATATGCTGCACACATTCCGAGAGGTGCGGGCCTTGTTCTCGTACCTGGACGACCTCACAATAGTGGCAAAGCTGATCCATGACCAAACATACATAGTGTCAATAGATCAGCACTGGCCGGACTTGTACCACCAGACTCTGGATATTATGGTTGACCGTAATATCCAGTTACAGCCGAAGAAGAGCCAAATCGCCAGGCTAACAAAGAAGGTCACCCATCTCTTTGGTCGGGACATCCTGAACCATGGCTACATGATCGACAGGGATCGACTGAGGGACTTACTCATGGCACCGGTCCCCAAGAACCATAAGGAGTGAGTATCCCTCCTGACCATGAGCTTGTGGTGGTCAGACATGATACCACACTACGCGCGAACAATGGAATCCCTTATCCGACTCACCAATAAGTGTGTGGTGTTTGCATGGGGGGCGGAGCGGCAGTGTAAGATTCGGTCTAACAAAGGCGATACTAATGCCATAGAATAAATAAACGCGTAGGTAAATTCTAAGTATCGTGTAAATATCGATATAAATAAACGAAATGAGACGTTTAATAAAGTTAGGTTTGCCTCGTGAAAACAGTAATACTCTGAGGGATTGTGAGGCTGAGACATTGCCTAGATATAATCCTCTCAGTACTGTTTCCGCCGAAGGGATTTTAATTAGTGTTTCGTTGTCGCTCTATTCTGGGGCGAATCCGAGAGACTTATAAAATCCTATCTTTAGAAAAAATATATATAAAAAGAAAGAATAATCTTGACGTCTTTAGTTATTGTCTTAACCAATAACTTGCCACTATCAAGAATTACCGACTTAGCCTTCATCAGACTGGCACATCTGGTTGGCTTATCGGAGGATCAACTAGGTAACGTTGATAGTCCCTAGAAACCTATATTCGGCTGAGCCATCTCGCTACCGAAGTATTCAGATATAAATAAAATTGGAAAGTAAATAAAGCTCTATTAATAGAACTAGACCAACTCTTTTATGTTTGGTATTTTACTGAGGTTTTTTAATGGCCTCATCCAAATATCTGATATGTTAAATGGAAAAGGTTTAATTAATAAAACCATTAAAAACCATTTTAGGAAACTTAAGTTCCTCGTGCTATTAAGAGCACATTTAGGAGACTTAAGTTCCTCGTACTATTAAGAGTACATTTAGGAAACTTAAGTTCCTCGTACTATTAAGAGTACGTTTATAATTTGCGTACTGCTTAAAAGTACGTTTATACATAGAGTCTAATGTGGAAGCCCGGCTTAATACAGCAGCTCGCATGAGACAAGGCTCTGAAATATTTCCTGTTCTTGCGGATCCAGCTCTACACGCCGCCTCCCCACCAGTGCCTCGTTATGTGCCCGGACGTATGCAAGACAGCAGTCGGCATGACCCTTTTCGTGCAAATAGAAGGTGGCGTTCCACGATACGTGGTGGAGGAGATAGAAACCCCCCGCCTATCGGCGAGTGCCCTGGAAGTAGCGAAATCTCAGTTAGTCAACCTGACCTCATCATGGGCCTTGAAGCCCTTGCTTTGCAGTTCTTCCTCACGGCAATTGAGCCAACGGACGCGGACGAGAACGGGCCGGGTACACCAGCTCTCCGGTTCATGGACTTGCGGCACACTGCCACGGCTCCAACAGGGGTAGCGGACATTGAGGACATCATTGTGGTCCGCAAAAAGGACCGAACGGAGAGGTATGCGATAATAAGGTGTGAAATCATTGACGTCGGAATAACAATTGCCGGGCATTCCCATCTGTTTCCCGTCATTCTGGCGGCCAGCACCCTCAACTCAGTACAGTGCAAACGACCGCGAAATGAGGGGCTGCAAATTTGCAGCAAAAAAAGCGCTCCATATACTACAGCGCTCCATATACTACAGAGCTCCCACCTACCAGGATCATGTATACCGATCGCAAGCCGCTGCTCGACATAGTGCGATTGGCCGGGAAGTATACCGAAAACGACATTATGGAAAGTCGCCGAATTCTCCGCTCCATACACGTTATGCATTAAGTGCAGATCGACTATCGGTATGTTCCAGGGCCGCTCAACATCTTTGGTGACTACATGTCGCGCTGCTGCGACCATGGAACCAATGACGGGCTGCAAATTTGCAGCAAAGAAAGCGCTCCATATACTACAGCGCTCCCACCTGCCAGTGATCATGTATACCGATCGCAAGCCGCTGCTCGACATCGTGCGATTGGCCGGGAAGTATACCGAAAACGACAATATGGAAAGTCGTCGAATTCTCCTCTCCATACATATTATGCATGAAGTGGAGATCGACTATCGGTATGTTCCAGGGCCGCTCAACATCTTTGGTGACTACATGTCGCGTTGCTGCGACCATGGAACCAATGACGGGCTGCAAATTTGCAGCAAAGAAAGCGCTCCATATACTACAGAGCTCCCACCTACCAGTGATCATGTATACCGATCGCAAGCCGCTGCTCGACATCGTGCGATTGGCCGGGAAATATACCCAAAACGACATTATGGAAAGTCGCCGAATTCTCCGCTCCATACACGTTATGCATGAAGTGGAGATCGACTATCGGTATGTTCCAGGGCCGCTCAACATCTTTGGTGACTACATGTCGCGTTGCTGCGACCATGGAACCAATGACGGGCTGCAAATGTGCAGCAAAGAAAGCGCTCCATATACTACAGCGCTCCCACCTGCCAGTGATCATGTATACCGATCGCAAGCCGCTGCTCGACATCGTGCTATTGGACGGGAAATATACCGAAAACGACATTATGGAAAGTCGTCGAATTCTCCGCTCCATACACGTTATGCATGAAGTGGAGATCGACTATCGGTATTTTCCAGGGCCGCTCAACATCTTTGGTGACTACATGTTGCGCTGCTGCGACCATGGAACCCTTAATGCTCCTGGCAGAGAAGCGGGTGGCATGAACATCGGTTCTGGAGCTCCCCGAGCCCCAGGTACTGGCAGCGATCACTACCTGGGCTTTGGACCGCTCCAATTGGCAGCTCAATCGGCTCGGGTTCCTTCACTCGATTGAGGTCTTTAGTGAGGAACACGCTATCGAGCTCTTTGCGACAGAGGAGAACCACCTCCAAACCATATATTGCAGTGATGAGCCGGGGAGTGGCACGTATGGTTGCAATTTCTTCTCTGTTGACCTAAATGATAAGCATTGTTATGGCAACTCCTCTTTTGACATCTTGGACGATGTCCTCCACCACATCATAGCCTTCCGGAACGCGTCCATAGTGTTATGTACGCTTCTGGGATACCGCGCCGTGGCTACCCTCACTTTTCGGCACGTTGGCGAACCGCCCGATCATTATCACCAACAAAGAGGACACCTTTCTCCTGAAGAGAAAGCGAGCGGTTGGTCTTCCTCCGTGGAAATGCACTCTCCTGGTCCACGCAAAGAGTGCGGAGGGTATGAAGTACCCTGTTCCTCGGTCGTTCTGGCACCAGCTTGAGCGCCGCACGGCTCCAGGATCCCTCGGACATGCGGGCCACCAGTACCGCTCCGTATCGTGCATCTCAGTCACCACCCGGGCCCAGGCGGAGGTTAGCGCCTCCTTACCGACTCATGGCGTGGATTTGAAACCCGCGGTGATGGACATTACCCCGGAATTTGCTCGCAGCTTTGGCAGACAATGATAATGTCTACACGAGTGTGCCCACCTTGACACACGACGAAGCCCCGCATACTGATGACGGGCGCCCCACATCCTCCGACACGATTGAGCCAACTACGACCCTCGCAGACGCCGAAGGTGACGTGCGCTTTTCACCCTCTGAGCCGACCACCAACACGGCCACGCTGGACGTAACTGACAGCTTGGGCGGCCAGAAACCTCCTGCCAT